AATATATATACTTTGTGGGGTCTGCCACGCCTCCTTCTGCCTGTTACATACATTTTAACAAAACCATTATACCCTGATTTCCCATTTTCAATGGGTTCAGGGTATAAAAAAAAGATGAAAAAAACTGCAAGTGAAATTTTCACAACTAATTGCCTCAGCGGCAACGGCCCAAAAATTTCTGTCCACATCGAAGTCGGAGCTGGAGCTGGAGTCGTTCTCTCGGATGCTGGCCTACGTTTGGGCATTGTTTGTAAAGAAAGCGGAGGAAATGACAACAGACACAAGACACTAGACAGCCAGCAGCATTAGCCAGAAGAGTAGAAAATCTATTAGCTGCTGCTGCGGCTGCTGCGATTGTTTGCTTGAGATAATTGAACCCACGTTCATTATTTCAATTTGTAGCAGCTGCGTTTAAAAAAAAATAAAATAAAAGCGAAAAGATAAACAATGAAAGAAAAAATACAACGAATGCCATGAGTTAATCCAGACGCAGTCGCATTCTCAGCTTATTTAATGGCCACAAGTAGAGAAAATTAAGCGGCGTTAGAAATTAATACAGACATCAGGTGCGGCGCAGAGTGCCATGGACTGGCGCGCATTCCACATGCGAGCTCGGCAGTCGCAGTCGCAGTCACAGTCGCTCTCTGACATCGGCTCCTGCTATCGGATGCCATCAATTGCAACAACAACAAAAACAACAAATCGTATAACGTATAATTTTCAAAAGTGGCAAACAACAATAAAAGCAACAACAGCAACAGCTCGATGCTGGGCAGGCTCAAGCCGGGACAGCAAAAGCAGACATGATATACATATGTATGTATATGTGGTGTGAGTGTGTAAGTGTGTGTGAGTGTGAGTGTCGCTGCTGCCCCCACATATCATGATGCCAGCTGCACACTGGCGCAAGGCTGAACATAAATGCAAATGCAGAAATGAAAAATTAAGCACAAGCGAAATTAATCAAAATTCAAGTAGAGCTCTGAAAGATTTTGCATAAATATACTATAAAACGTCTATGAGAATTGCATGGAAAAGAATTACCAAAGTAAACTAAAAGACTAAAAGATTATGATTTAGGTTAAGCAAACGGAATATAATAAATAGATATGTTTTCTCATTGTATAGAAATAGTAAAGTAAATGAATGAATAAAAAATGTTATAAAATATGTAAAGCCATTTATGAAACAATGAATTTAGTGCTTATAAAAAACTGAAGCTGTAATATAGTTAAGTACTCGTGAAATAACAACTTAAATTCATGTCACAAAGTGGAAACGCTATTAAAAGAAACTGACTCCGACATGAGAAACCAATAGAAAAGCAGAAGATTTAAAATTGGTATAGACTACTGGTATAACATGAACTAATTGGAAAAAGGGAAAGTGTTGAGTAGAGTTGGGAAAGTGTTAGCTTAACTTATTAAGGCCTGCATAAAAGCGGAAACAAATAACGAAAAGAAACGAGAGTATTTAGGCTATACTTAAAACATAAATAAGTTTATAAATTTTTTAAATGAATTAGAGAATGAGAAGTTTCATTGATAAAACATACAAAAATATTCCTCAACAGATGCGTAAAGAAGATCGTTGTATTAATGGTAAAGAAGTAAATCAAATATTTAATGATTTTTTATCTCTTTTGATCTCAGTTGCCATTCCAAATATTTTCTCTGACAGCACACATCATGACGAATCCAACATAATTAAAAGAGTCCAAGATAATCTAGCTCTTTATATATTAATAACTCGACATATAATTAAAGAAAAGATTGCAGATAATTATCTATTTCATGCATTAAAGGATTATAAATACATTTTTGTAATAGACTGGAACAGAGCTCAATACGATTCTAGATCGAGATCACTATGGCAAGAGGCCGCCACAACTTAGTCATCATCATCTCAAATTGATGATAAATGGAAAACAATGTCATGATCTTTGCAGAGCTGAAAGAATTTCTTGATTTCTGATTTCAATTAAATGACGAACGTGTCGAACCAGAGGCAAAACGCTTTCAGCAATTGCCACCGAACAGCGGGTCAAACTCTTTAATGATGACCTCATAAGGCAATCAAACCAAATTGTTGGCTGCACTCCAGACACACACACACACACACACACACACACAGATACAGAGAGTGAGTGAGCATTTTGAACCACGGTAAACCCCAACCGCTGCGGTTCGAGTCTCTGCTGTGTTTAATGAATTTATTTGAATGTTGGACAAATTGTGCACGACGGGCGAAATTTACGAGCCTTTACTTTTACGCTGTACGTTCTGTTCGAGTGGGCACTGTGCGAGGGGCCAGCCAGGGGGATCATGGGCACATGCCACAAAGTGTGGAGTTGTGCGGCGGCAGGGTAGCGGGTTGGGTAGAAGCGGAGCTCCAACTCTGTGATGTGTGTCAGTTTTACATTCACTTTGTACTCGTACCTTAGATATTAATTGCTGCTGCTGAAGACAACAGTCAAGACACTGTTGGCCTTTCTACTACGAGCCCAAAGCCCCCCGCAAGGCACCGCTTACAGTTAGTTAGCTTAAGTGCACAGTAAACACACCCAAATGAAAACATATAGAAAGGAGAAGTAATTTTAGATATACGAAAAAAAGAATAAATTAATAAAATTCTATGAATGTAAACCTAAGGAAACTTTATGTTTTCTAAATATCAGCATTGTACATGGAATTAAATTAAAATATATATATTTTTTGTTAATCTTACAGAAAACCTAATGAAATTTAATATTGAACACATATAGGCGTTGTTCACTCTATACTTAAAATGAAATTTAATAAATTAGAATAATTTAGACTTTACATAAAATTAAATTTAAACCATATAGATATATTTATATATTCTAATGCATTACATTACATACATTTCTCATTTTGTTTATTATTCGAATATTGTTTTCATTGTAATTTATGAAGCCCAAATGCTTTAGCTTTTATCGAGCACTCACTGTATTACACTAACATGACTTACCATTAGTGAGCGTTGCCGTTAACATGCATGCTAGCAGTGCGCCAAACAGCTGGGACTGGAACTTTAGCCTAAAGCGAGTCTGGAACGGGCACATCATTTTCACTGTCGACTGCACTTTCCTGGCCTAGCCTAAACGAAGTGAAGGAAGACGTAGAGCCCGACAAAGACGAAGAGTGCGACGAAGGCGAAGTCGTGCGTGTGTATGTGTATGTGTGTGTGTATGCGTGACTACGACGCTTTCGCTCGTTAACAATTGAAATAGAAGCAGTTGCTATTGTTGTTGTTGTAGTTGTTACTGCGAGTGCGGCTGTGGCTGCGACGGCTGCTGCGACTCCGACTGCGACTGCGACTGCGACTACTTCTCAAGTTCAATACCAGCTATGCGACGGCGTGCAAAGATCACGGCGCACACGACTTGGAAGAAAGTTTTCAACAGTAGCTTTAGGCAGCGCCTGTGCAAGAGAACTGCTGCAGGCTGCCAGCTGAAGCTGTAGTTGTAGCTGTAGCTGAAGCTGTAGCTGTAGCTGTAGCTGAAGCTCAACGACGTCAACGGCGAGGGCTAAAGCTCGAATTAACGGTTTTTAGCGGTTAACGTTTGGCTCATTTGGTGTGTTCTGTGCGCCGCCTGCGTTAATTCGGTTGCCTATTAAACATTAAAGCGAGACTTGCGGTAATTACGCAAAGAGCTCTATATAATCTGCTGGTAACTCGTCTCGCAATGACCTCTCGCACAATGTGGCATAATTTCTTTTTTATCGCCCTGCCTTTTAGTTGTTTGTTTGTTACTTTTTTTTTCGTTGTTGTTGTTATTTTTTCCTTTTTGCACGTTGCTTTAATTCGATTTCAATTACGACTGTGTTTGCCTTTTGAAGTTTACCACAGTTACCGTTTGTTCAGTCAGCTCATTCGTTCTTTCATTCTTCTTCTTCGTTTCGCTTCTTTTATTATTATTGTATGCACACAAAATATCTTTTGATAGTCTCTTTCGGGGCGGGCACTCGAGTTCTTTTCTTCAGTGTAGTTCGTTACTCTTTAACCGTAACCGTTTGAATTTGATTTTTTTGATGCGCGCTCGTTGAGTTTCGCATGCGAAGTGACTGATTCGCTGTGATGCGATGTTCCGTGCGCTGTCGACGTTGACGTTGACGCTGGACGTTACAGCGGCTGCATTATTTATTGTTGTTGGTGGATTGATGCTGGACTGCTGCGTTTTCAATGAATGAACACACACACACACAATCATGCGCTACGTACGCTCGCTAACTCTCTCACACACACACACACGCACGCGAGCTTTGCCTTTTTACACATTCATAAAATTATAGGCTTCGCTTGTAGTTGTTCTCGATGCTGCTCCCTGGCTTTTGTTGCAGCTCCAGCTCCAGCTCCAATTCGACTGTCGGCGACAAACAAAAATCTTAGCTGTTGCGACTGCGCCGTCGTACCGAACGACACGAGAGAAAGGTTTGAATGACACTCACACTCGAATTTGCAATGCCATTTATATGAGTGAAAGGCAGTCGCAGCGCAGCCGCAGCGCAGTTGGCGTTAGTCGGGCGCCGAACAGTGGGCTACTGAGAGAAAATGAGCAAAAATGATGCAGTTACAGTAGAAGGCGTTTTTTATTTGTTTATTTATAAAACATGAAATTATAATACTAATTTTTATTAAATAGATTATTATTACAAAATGCAAAATATGAAATGAAAATTTAAATGTAAAAATAATTAGAAATTAAAAAATAAATAAACAAAATGCACTCGAAAATAAAAAAAAATTTATTCATGCGTAAATAATAATTTTTTAATAAATGTTAAACATAAATAAATCTTCTTAAGCGTATATGCCACATTTTTATTGACTTGTAGACGAAGAAATATATATTTGTATAAATATCAGATTCATATCAAATGAAATTTTCTATACAGGAAGATCTGACACATCAAAATATTCAATACTTGCTACTGCTATCTCAGCACACTGTGCAACGCCTTCGCAGTGCGGAGCTTTGTTCGCCGCGGCTTTGACTGCGCTTTAGCCATTGATTAAATGGAGTTGTCGGTATTTAAAATAACAACTTGGTCATGTTGTCTAGCAGAAACCTAATCGGTTTTGCGTACAAATTTAATTTGCCAAAAGTGGCAGCAAAATGCAACCAAATAGGCGAACGGCACATTTGAAATTATAACACACACATCGACTAGGCAACTGTGCAGGCGGTACAGACGGACAGACAGACAGACGGTTGCTTTGTCGCCGTAGAAAGTGCGCACTGAAGCTGGAGTCGGAGTCGGAGTCGGCATCGATGTCGATGCACAAAAGCCGCAGACGTTGCTAGCTGGAAGCTGTGTTTATAGACTTGTCGACTTTTAAGCCATAAATTTTACGCCTGAGTGGCGTTGGCGAATAAGGGTCACACATACACAAGCACACACACACATACGCACACCCATATGAGCACCCATACGCACATACATAAATAGATGAGCTTTGGCGGAGAGTCGCGTGCATAAAGAAAATTTGAGAGCTGCAGCGCAGCAGCTGGCAGAAAAAAGAGGTCAGTAAGTGAATGTTTACAGTTAGCTTTTGGGCAGCCAGACATCGTAAGCGGCATAATGCATCTGACAGCCATGACACAGCAGCAGCAGCAACAACCGCCCAGAACTAATGCCACACCACTTCCAGAGACAACAAGAAATAAAACCAAAAACAAAAATTAATTAAAAGAAAGCCTCGAGTAAAAAACCTTTGGCAGCATTGCAATTTCTTTTTGGCCATAACCAAGATTTGATGTCGTGGTTGCCAATAAAAATGGAAAGTGAAAATTGTAGCTGCAATGCCTGCATGCATATTAAAAACAAAAAACAAAATAACCACACAAAAAAAACCTAAAAACAAGTGTAATAAAGATAGAAGCCAAACGCAAAGCAATAACAACGGCCACGCACCTGTTCTGCAGGTCGTGCGAGTTTTCATCGGCTCTAATCACAGGCTGAGCTAAAAAGCCCGAGTATTATATAAAAAGTGATGATAGAGGAGCACTGAAATTATATGGCAAAATGGTAAAATCAAAAGTGCTTGTTATGAATGCACTTGTGAAAATGTACCAATTTCGAATTTGATTAGCCAGTAGCATACATAGTTATTTGCCATGCTTTTCACTAATTTCTAGTTTTCCTTACAGTCTTATGCTAATTGTCCAGCAAATTGGCAAAGCTCGTTAACGTTTATTTTCTCCACTCAATTTTCAAAAAGTAACAGTCTTAATTTATTAAGTCAGCACTGGCAAAGCAAATTTGCGTTACTCTTTGAATTTTGCAGCACTGCAATAAGTGTTGCTTTACACGACCATCGATACTGGCCAAACTATCGATAGTTTTGTTTAACATCGCTACCCACACACACGCACGTTCTGGCACACACATGTACGCACACAGCCACACTCATTGAAAAAGTCAGAGAATTGTGTGGGAAATAAAAATCGTGTATAACTAACTGCGAAACGCGCAAATTGTGCAAATGCGGATGCCCAGTGCTAAAAGTAAAGTGAACGTGTTAATAAAATCGGATGCGCTGGCTGTTTGGGCAGCTAAAAATTCATGTTGTCGTTGTAACGCATCGCACTGAGTTAGCGAGTGAGTGAGTGTGCGTGTGTGTGTGTGCGTGCGTGCGCCTATGTGTGTGTGTGAAGAGTGAAACCTACAACTTTACTCCCCAAACCAACGGCCACACCAACAACAACGACGTCGACGACAACAACAACAGCAGCAGCAGCAGCGCAGCAGTGTTGAGAGAAAAGATGGCGACGAGTCGCACCAGTCGCATACAATCACAACCAAAAATTTTTCCTTCAATCTTTTCGAAATTACATGGAGCAATATCAGAGGCGTGCGTCTCACAGCGTCTATCCACGGACAAGAAGACGCTGGAGAAAACGTGGAAACTGATGGACAAGGTGGTCAAATTGTGCCAACAGCCAAAAATGAATCTAAAGAACAGTCCCCCCTTCATATTGGACATACTGCCGGACACGTATCAAAGATTGCGTCTCATCTACTCCAAGAATGAGGATCAAATGCATCTGCTCCATGCCAACGAACACTTCAATGTATTCATCAATAATCTAATGCGTAAATGCAAACAGGCCATCAAACTCTTCAAGGAGGGCAAAGAGAAAATGTTCGATGAGAACTCGCATTATCGTCGCAACCTAACCAAACTGAGTTTGGTCTTCTCCCACATGCTCAGCGAGCTAAAAGCTATATTTCCCAATGGTGTCTTTGCGGGCGATCAGTTTCGAATCACCAAAGCCGATGCGGCCGACTTCTGGAAGAGCAATTTTGGCAACAGGTAAGCCATACACCTAATTCAATCGTACAAACAATGAACACAGTTTATTTATCATTGGTGTAGTACCCTGGTGCCTTGGAAAATCTTTCGTCAGGAACTGAATAAGGTGCATCCGATATCATCTGGCTTGGAGGCGATGGCACTGAAGACAACAATTGATTTGACGTGCAACGATTATATATCGAATTTTGAATTCGATGTGTTCACACGACTGTTCCAGCCTTGGGTCACATTGCTGCGCAACTGGCAAATTCTGGCCGTCACCCATCCCGGCTATGTGGCCTTTCTCACCTACGATGAGGTAAAGGCGCGACTGCAGCGCTACATCCACAAGGCGGGTAGCTATGTCTTTCGTTTATCCTGCACGCGACTGGGCCAGTGGGCCATTGGCTATGTGACGGCCGATGGAGAGATATTGCAAACAATACCCCAGAACAAATCGCTGTGTCAGGCGCTGCTGGACGGGCATCGGTAAGGAGACTAGGATTAAGGTTACCGATTAATGCTGAGATCAGAGAATGGTTTTGGTTAATGTTTAGATATGTGATGGCGATTAGGATTAGAGCTATATATATATAATTTATATGTGCGTAGTTTATGCCACATACTAATTACGTTCTGCTTTTCCCCTACCCCATTTCAACTATAGCGAGGGCTTTTACTTATACCCCGATGGCCAGGCCTACAATCCCGATTTATCCTCCGCCGTGCAAAGTCCAACCGAAGATCACATAACCGTTACACAAGAGCAATACGAGCTGTACTGTGAAATGGGTAAGTTTTGGCAATGTGACTAAGGATCGATCACCCTAGCTAACCCTAAACCTAAACCCTTGCAGGCAGCACCTTTCAGCTATGCAAAATCTGCGCAGAGAACGATAAGGATATACGCATCGAGCCTTGCGGTCATTTGCTATGCACGCCCTGTCTCACGGCCTGGCAGGTGGACTCGGAGGGACAGGTAAGCTAGTCGCATATTTAACTGATTAACTAATCTAATACCCTTTCAATATGTGCACTCAATAGGGCTGTCCGTTCTGTCGGGCGGAAATCAAGGGCACCGAACAGATCGTTGTGGATGCATTTGATCCACGCAAGCAACACAATCGCAATGCAACGAATGGACGACAACTGCAGCAGGACGACGACGATACAGAGGTATAGTTTAGAGCAGCGCTTATCAAACAAACAAAAGAAAAAAACAAAAATGAAACCATAAGAAAGCCTTTGAAGCCTGCCCCGCGCTGCCCGCCTGTGCTGCCTCTCTATCTCTATCTCTCTTATATATACACATAATCTTGTTATATATATACATATATATAGATGTATATATATATAAATGTTAGTTCGTTTATATATACAAATTATATATATATACATAGGCGTTCTATTTATATATTAAGTTTAATGTTTAGCAATTTTGATTTATTCATACGTAAATTATTAGCTACAATTTTTCATTGCAACTAACAGAGCTGTGCGCACACAAAACGAGAAACGCAAACATTTCTTTATAGTGTAATGTTTAATACGTGCATATTTATATATGTATGTATGTATGTATGTATGTATGTATGTATGTATGTACGTATGTCTATATATGCATATGCGCTTGTATTTATTTATTTATGCGCCGAGCGGAAGTTACTCATCAGTCGCTTATTATTACTATTTTCTGTTTATCAACGCTCGCTTGTTTCTGTCGGTTTTGTTTGTGCACTCTGTTCTCTTGCTGATTTTGTTTCGTTTTGTTGATTGCTTCTACTTCTTCTTCTTCTTCATTCTTACCCTACTACAAAACTAAATTCATTCATTCATTTGCGCTCGCTCGCCTCTGTTGATGAATTCATTTGAAGCGTGTGATTTGATTCTTGAACAACTATGATATATATTTATATATGTGTATGATGAATAGAAACTGTATTTGTATTATGCGCTCTAGCACTTGTGCACCTTTTGTAAATACCTTAGTTCTTAGTGAAACGAAACGAAACGAAACCTGTATTTGCACTCCGTTCTTCCTGCAGTATATAGATCTATATATATATATATATATGTATATATATATGAACCTCTTCCATACAACAAAATATCTTATCTATTTTCACACACATTTTAGTTTATGATTTAATACTTCCAAAGATATGTTTAGTTCATCATGGTTTATAATATTTTTGTGTTTGTTTTTAGTTTTTGCAAAACGGTTTTCATATAGATTTTATACATACATATTTTTGTATGTATGTGTGTGTTTATTATTATTTTTTTGTAAGCAGCGCTGCAGCTGCCCTAAGACTGTAATTTATTGATATGTAATAATATTTAATGAAAAATCAAAAAACAAAATGGTCAAGGCCAATGCATATTGTATAATTATTATCATTATCATTAACATTATTGTAATTTTTTTAATTATAATTATTATCATTATTTTTAGTGTAGTTAGCTTTTAGTTTTTAGTGTTTGTTAAATGTCACAAGCCTAGGCCAGAATTTATAAAAAACAAAAAGAAACAAATTGCAAAGTATTAGCAAAAGGAAATTTACAATGTGTGCGTGTGTGTGTGAGTGCGTGTGTATGTGTATGTCTGTTTGTTAATTGTATTCATTCATTATTATTTAAACGATTTCGGCTCAAGTTTTGTTTCCTTAACATAGGCTTCAGCATACATCGATTTAGCATATTTCAATTAATAATTAATAACTATTTATGTTTTAAATATGTATATATATATAAATATATATATACACATCGTGCAAGTACATTTTCTTAGACTTAATTTTTGATTTCCTTAAAACAAAAAAAAGAAAAAAAAAAACTGAACAGCAGAAAAAAATATATATATGTGTATAAATATTTATAAATATTGGTTTCAATTGTTTCATTTGTCTACAGTTGTTCTTGTTGTTGTTGTTGTTGTTCTTGTTGTTTTTGCTCCTGTTCCATTGTTCTCTGTTATTTTTTTTTTATTTATTTGATATCCTTGTTGCTGTGCATGTTCGAATCAAAACTTTGACTTGCAGCCACTTTTGCTCTAGGGGCATGCCATCTAACCCACTCTAGACACACTCTAGACAGGCAACCCACCCAACCACTCAACCAACAACAATTTGACTACTACAAACATCCCTACTCCAGGACATGGGCGACTTCAATATAGCCACCAGTTCGCTGCATGCGCTCAGCACCTCGGCCGCCTCGCAGTCGTCCATGGAGAAGCACAGTCCGCATACATCGCCGCGGCTCGGGAGGCGCAGCACCACGCCCAGCCTGATGGCGGTGCAGAATGATCTGTATGCCGGCGGTGCGGCCACGTTCAGTCTGCCCAGCAGCAGCAGCAGCAGCAGCTGCAACAACAACAACAACAGCAGCAGCAGCAGTAGTAGCAACAACAGCAACGCCGGCGGTAACTCTGCAAATTGCACGCAACAGCAGCAGCAGCAACAGCAGCAGCAGCAGCAACAACAGCCACAGCCATCGGCACCGCCTGCTGCTGCTGTGATCAGCAATGGTAATGCATCCACGCAAAAGTCAACGCATCGCATGAGTGCACCGCTGATGGGCTGCAGTGTGAACAACTCCACCTACGGACAGAAGCTGCCGGGCTGCAAGGCGGAGAGCGGCTCGAGTGGCGATACGGCCTCCATTAGCTCCTATGCCATACTACAGAATCTACAGGATAGTGCCAGCTCCAGCTGCACAGTGGGCTCAGCTGCAAGTGGTTCGAGTGCTGCTGTGGTTGCCACTGCTGCTGCTGGTGGTGCTGGCGGTGCTGCAGTGGCACCGCCCTTGCCGCCACGCAAGTCGCCCGGCATGGAGACGCCAGTGAAGCCAAATGCAACGCCCTCGACCAGCAAGAGCATCGACAACATCCAGTGCAGCTTGGACAATGTGCCGCCCCAGACAACGGCACCGCCCATACCGCCGCATGTGAGCAGCAGCGTGGACACCCTGGCCGAGGACTTGATGCGACAGCAGCGTATCGCGAGCAGCACCACATCACCGGTGCTGTCGCTGCTGGACGAGATGGTGGAGGTGGGTCCGGCAGAGACCATAAGCGGTGTCATCGATACGCGTCCACTGGAGGCGCGTGGCACGCTGCCCAGCAGCAGCACCACCAACATCGCCGCCGCCGCCGCCGCCAACACCAGCAACTCCAGCAGCAGCAACTCCAACAGTAGCAGCAGCAGCAGCAGCAATTGCAGTGGCTCCCAGGATGCAGCCACCTCGCACTATACGCAATTGTGCACCACCACGACCAGTGCTGCGGCTCTGGCAGCTGCCGCCACGCTAGCCAATGGCAAAAAGTCGACGCTTAAGCAGCCAACGCCAGCGGCGAATCCTCTCCAGCAGCAGCAGCAACAACCGTTGCTCTATGCGAACGTGACGATCAATCAAAAAGACTGCGGCCCCACTGTGCCCTATGAGAATATCAATCTGGAGTATATAGCGCGCCTGATGAATGCCGGCTACTCCAAGGAGAATGCCATCACGGCTCTGGGCATCTCGAGGAACAACATCGAAATGGCTGGCGATATATTGCGCGAGTTTGTCTCCAAGAATAGCGCCTAAGTGCCACAATGCCCCTTCCAAAAGCCAAGCCACGCCCCGCCCTCTCTTGCCTCACCCTCGCCCTTTTCTCTCTCTCATATACAGTGTGATCCCAGGAGGAGTATTGTTGATGATGTTAATGATGATGATGATGAAGATGATGATGATATGATCCCAAAACAAAGCAAAAGGCAAATGATAAATCATAAGCATAAATTTAAATTTAAAAGTTAAAAAAAAGCTCTCATAGCGCGCTCTCTCTCTAACTATATCTAAGTCCAAACTCTATATAAATATATTAATATATTTATATAAATAAAGTTTCTCTAAAACGCTTTACTCCCACACACACACACACACACACACACACAAACATACATACATTCAAACTTCATTTAGACTTACGCTACACACACACACACACACACACATGCACACCCATTCTTGGCTTAGCCAGCACAAGCAATTAGGCATTACAAAAATAAAAATAAAAAATCGTTCGTTCTCTTTAAAAAATTACAAAATTAATATTTAAATATTAAAACAAAAAATTAATAAAAAATTTATAAAAAAAAAAAAAAATAATTCGTCAAATTCTCACACTATTTAAAGCAAAACAAAATTGAAGCACAAACCATTTATATCAAATATAGCTATATATATACATATATATGTATATATGTATTAAGACGTATCTACTTCCTATTAAGTAAACACAGAAATATGTATATGCAAAATTTCTTAAGTGCAGCTCTAAATGAAACAAATATTTGCCCACCCCGAAAATGAACAAGATATAAATTTTTTATATTTATTATGCGCTCTTCAATTAATAAAAGACAACAACAAAAACCCAAAAATAAAAATCATCAATAAGGTTTAAAAACAAATTTTAATTGGTGCATCGGCAATCATAACAAAATAATCACAGTAAAACAACTGAAAAAAAAAAAAAAATAAATTAAATAAATAAATTAAAAACAAATCCAACATGCCTTTGAAGTCGATCTTTAGAATCGGCCCTAAGATTACTGATTTGATGGAAGAACAGAGGAAACACCAATAAATAAAACCTAACCATGATCCGATGCACTATCTCAGAGAGTTTACCTCGATTTTTTATACAAAACTCAGACGTTTTTTGTAATATTATATTATATAAGTCGAAATACCCGAGCGAACGATTGAAGCAGATGATGAACACAAAAAACAAAGATATCCAGGAAACCAAGTGTGTATTAAACCCTTTTTACTGAATTTATATATATGTATGTATGCATAATCACACACATATATATATTAATGCGAATAATCGTTTTTTTTTTTTAAATTCGTCAATAAAGTTCTTAACCCAACACGCAATTTTTTGACATATACTACTAAGCGATATACACATACATATAGGCGATATAATCATAGTAAAACCAAACAACAAATTCGAGAGAAATCAATGCAATATTCACTATATATATATATTATAAAATATATATATAGATATATAAACAAATCAATGCAAGCGCAAAAAATTTAGTACTAACATATAAACATAACCTCAAATCGAACTATTTATGAAATATTTGAATTTTAAGATACCGAACATAACAAGTAATATACAAATAGCATAGAGCATAGCAACAACAAAAAAACGAAAATGAGCAAAGTAAAGAGAAAAGCGGAGTCAAGTCAATAACATAAAAAATATATACAAATCGATGTAGGAACGTCTGAAATTAAAAGAAGAAAATTAAGAACAAGTGCGATACCATACCATAGTCATGTCATATAATCCAGAAATATTAAGCAGATATAAATTATTCTTATAAATAAAAATAAAAAAACACAAAAAGAACCCTTGGCAAAGTCGTTTGTTTCTTAGTGATAAGGATTGTAAATAGCTAAACTTTAAAAAATTAAAGTCTAAAGGGGTATATATAAATTGTTTTCATTTTCTTTTTATATGTAGAAATCGTAAGCGGATTTTTCCTTTATTATTATATATTTTTTATTTATTTATTATAGCCCATTTTTTATTTATTTAGTTATTTCATATATTATATATATATGTTTTGCCTAGACAGAAGAAATAAATTTAAGAATTAACATTTTTCTGTTTCCATTAAATATTTGCCTAAATTTTTTTTATGTATATATAAATATTAAATAAATCATATCAACATAAATTTCCCTGCAAAAAGAAGCAAAACAAAGAAAAATTAAATAGCGAATGAAACCCGTTAATTTATTTTTATTTGCTATATTAAATTATAAATTTTATTAAAATATGGTATGCTCATAAAAATAAAATTTATTTACATTTACTATGTAATTCAAATAATTTATTAATATAATTAATTATTTTATTTTAATAATAAATGATAAAAATATTAATATGAATAATGTTGACTATTTTAAAAATATCTTTTTTCTTGGTTTTTTGTACCTTCACCCAACGCATTTAAACACATTTTGTTTTTAGCTTTATTGAAATATGTATTTATTTTTTAATGTTTTTTTTTTTTTTTTTTTTTTTTTTTTTTTTTTTTTTTTTATTTTTTTTGGTTTTTGTTTTTTTTTTTTTTTTTTTTTTATTTTTTTTTTTTTTTTTTTTTTTTTTGTATTTTTGTATTATTTGACTTATATAGTTTGCGTTTTGTATTTTTGCTTTTTTGTTTTTGTTGTTTTTTTTTTTCGTATTCAAGCACATATGTATTTGTTTTTTTTTTGCATTTTTTGTAGTGTATGTTTTACGATTTTTTTATGTTTTATATTTTATAAATAAGGATTAGTTGCTGTTCTGTTTGTTGTGTCTGTGCTGTTCATTTCATTGCATTGCATAAATCTCTAAACGCAGAGTATCTATCGCGGCATGTCAGACGATAGATATATACACAGATATACATATATGCATGTATATATGTTCGTTTAATAGCGATATACATATTATAAAGTTACTATTTGTTTTCATATTTTGCTTGTTCATTTTGTTGTGTGTTGCTTAGTGTTTCTTGTTTGTTTGTTGTAGTTGTATATATGTATAACATGGCTATAGTAGGACGTACTGATCCCAAATTTTGTTGTTTAGCTTGTTAAATGTTTTCATTTATTTTGTTTTAGTATTTTTTTTTTGTTTTATTTTTTTTAGTAATTGAAATTCATAATTTGTTTCACAATATTTGCTCTTTGTTTCCGACACGATCTCTTTGTATTTTTTTTTTTTTTTTTAGTTTTATATTTTTGTTTTTTACTATATATAATATACTTTAATATTTAAAAATACATTTTTAAAAATTAATTTTTGTTATCTTTCATTAAATGGTTTCAACAGATTTGGCGCAGCAAATTACATTTGCTCTTCTACATTACTCACACAAGACTTTTTGTTTTCTGTTTTCCTCGCTTCTTAATCATTTTTGTGTGTTAGTTACAAAGTTCGTTTTCTAAATATTGTTTTTGTTGTTGTTGTTGTTGCTTTTAATAAATAAATACGTTTTGTATGTGTTAGATGTATGCATGTATGTATATATGTATGTGTAATAAGTTAATGCAACCCTTTGAATGCAGAACTAAAATTCGTAAAACAACATACACAGTGTTAAGATACTCGAAACTCGATTTACAGTTTCTTTTGGTGTTTGAAATGTTATAAACGAGAAATATTAAGACTTTTTGTTTGTTTCTTTATAAATACTTCAATCTTACAATTTCTTGATCTCTTCATCATTTTTTGCTGTATACACACAATCATTATTCAATAAATATATATATGTATATATATATATATATATATATATATATATGCCAGTTAACAGTAAGACTTCAATGAAGCTGCGAAAGAACAGTTTGCGAGAAATATTAAGAATAGTTTAAGAGAATATAGTTCATATACAATAAGAGAAGAAAAAAAAACTATCTACGCTTCTATGGCATAAAGTGTTTTGTTATTTGTTTGTCTAATGCACATATGCAAGGATTTCGTTGCCATTATACAATAATTGTTTTCTTTTGTTGTTGTGGTATCTTAATTTCTGTTATCTCTTAATATGATTTGTTATAGATTTCATTTTCTTTGTTTATATATGCTAAAATTAAATTAAAGCAAAACTAGTTGAAAAATAGTATACGTATACACACAATTTGGTTTCATCTCTCAGACACTTGAATTTCAGTTTAAGCAGCGCACAACTTCAGTATAACAGAAAAATACAGACTGCATTTTTTGCTTTATTACAATTAGGATTTTAGGGCCCTGGTTTAATGGTTAATGCGTAAGTTTACGTAAAATTTCGTTTAGTTAGATTTTCTTTTCATATTTTCTTATTTGCTTTTTATATTCATATTTATATATATATATATATGTATATATCAGACACGTAGAAATTGTTTTTGGAGTTGTCATTTAGTATTCATCATAATTATACATATATGTATTGTGTTCTGTATGCCATATGCTTTGCTATCAATTATTATTATCGTTTCAAATAGTGTTTTGCATCTAAGTTAATGTACTTAATAAATTGTATGCTTGCTCATAATATGGTTCACAATGTAGTTGTCTGTTGTAGTTTGCATAACTGTTGTTTATTCATTTAATTATTATTTGTTGCAGTCCATCCTGTGCACATCTGTTGCGTTTAGGGAACGGTTAATCCTTCTTGTGTTGTATTGTGTAGCGTACAAGAATATATAAATATAAATATATATATATATAGATATAAGTATATATAGTTGTATATGCATGTATGTGGGTGTGTATCTATGCATTGTCTTTAAATTTGCATCAAATATCTGATTTTCTTTTGGAATTACTCTACCAAAGCGCCTGCAAGCAAATCATATCAGTTAATATGGTTCATTCCAAAGGTAAATTACTTAATGAGCACTCACCTGGAATGCGTGGATGGCGCGCGAGTATAGAAAAGCCCTTGCCCTGCGGACCCTTGGGTGCACGTGTTAGTATCAAACGTGGCACACCGTCATCGCCATTGAGCTTAAGGCGCGAGATCAGACGATCGGGACGATCGTTTATTTTCAAAA